AGGCCCTCCTGGTTTAGTCCTGGTTAGTCCTGGTTTAGTCCTGGTTTAGTCCTGGTTTAGACCTGGTTTCCTGGTTTAGAAGTGGTTTAGAGGTTTAGTCCTGGTTTAGTCCTGGTTTAGAACTGGTTTAGACCTGGTTTAGTCCTGGTTTAGACCTGGTTTAGTCGGTTTAGTCCTGGTTTAGAACCTGGTTTAGTCCTGGTTTAGACCTGGTTTAATCCTGGTTTAGACCTGGTTTAGTTCTGGTTTAGTCCTGGTTTAGAACTGGTTTAGAGGTTTAGTCCTGGTTTAGTTCCTGGTTTAGACTGGTTTAGACCTGGTTTAGTCCTGGTTTAGAACTGAACCTGGTTTAGTCCTGGTTTAGACCTGGTTTAGTGGTTTAGTCCTGGTTTAGAACCTGGTTTAGACCTGGTTTAGAACCTGGTTTAGTCCCCTGGTTTAGTCCTGGTTTAGACCTGGTTTAGACCTGGTTTAGTCCTGGTTTAGACTGGTTTAGACTGGTTTAGAAATATGGTTTAAAACCTGGTTTAGTAAAATCCCTCTGTGTAATCCATTTATTTCAACAAAGTAACTGTAATCCAATTACCACTCACTGAAACAGTAACTGTAACTGAATACAGTTACTCATAATTTGTACTCTGATTACGTAACTCCGGTACATGTAATCTGTTACTCCCCAACACTGTGTACAATTTAGGTAAAAAAATATATATATAAAAAAATAAAAACATATATAACATCACTTGTAGACTTACTGTGTGTAAATCTACAAGTGATGTTTTTTGCACCACTTAGATGAGTAATTTCTTGGATTCATTACTTTGATTTACATTTGCATTTACTTTTCATTATTTCTGTTGGAGTAACATTATTTTGAAATTAATTAAAATTAATTAATTAATTAACATTACCCACCTCTGCTTGTGGCTCTGGTAAACGGTAAAATTGTCTCCAAAAATCTTTTGTTACACGCTCATAAAATGGAAAGAGAAAAGAAAACATTTGTAAGTAAAAATAAATCGTGTGATACTTACTTAACATTAACTACACTATTTAAAGACTTAATAAAACATGAAGAAAGACTAGGAAAGGCTGAGTAAATAATTAACAGTTTATTCATTATGACGTAAAGGTGCATTGTGTATCTTTTCAGATGGGAGTCTGTCACTTGCTTGTTTCTATGGAGATGTCATTGCTCTGCTGAGAATGTTCCGCAGTGTGACATTAAACAGCTCTATCTTACATTTATTCAGTTACAGGTGTGTGAAAAATCCCTCAGTCGTCCAGGTAGAATCCATGGCAAATGAGAAATTCAATTTGTCGACTGATTCTCAGCTCATCGAAGCTGCTTCTTGATTTCTGGTCAGACGCTGGTGGACACTTCCTTATATCTGCTGCAAGGAGGAGCTAAATAACTCTGAAACTAACACACCTACTTGTTTACAGTTTCTGTTTGTTATTTAGGCCTATTGAACTTGCACTGAGTGTGGGGTCTTATTTGCAGAATCATTCAGGGCTGTAATGGAGTTTTCACACCTCTGAGCCTGACCTGACTACACCTATTGTTTTCTTGTTTGTTTTGATTTAGGTTTGAGGATGGAGTTGTAAATAGGAGATCAATAGTGTCTGAGGCCTCCATTTCTTTTTAGAGAAGGATTCTTTTTCTTAACAAAAATAGTTTCTTTAACTCCACTCTCAAACCAGTTCTTTTCTCTGGCTAAGATCTGTACCCCACTGTCCTCAAATGAGTGGCCCGAGGCTTTTAAGTGGAGATGAACAGCAGACTGAGGTCCTGTGTTGCTCTCTCGTCTGTGTTGGTGAAGTTTTGTTTCTCCAACATAACGATCACTGCAGTCTTCACTACACATTTGTCCAGTTGACAAACTGAATTTCTCCTTTGCCATCAATTACAGGTGGTTTTATGTGCGAGTTTCATTGTTGACAAAAGCGCGCGTTGCATGCTGGAAATTATTTTGGTCGGCGGCAATAAACACTAATTCAACATGACGGACGGAGCGAGAAAGCACGTAAAGGGTATTGATCCCGGGTATTTATCCACTCTAACGGCAGAGAACCCAAGACCATTTGACCAGAAATTGGTCATAAGCATCGATGGACGACAAATCACCCTTTTCAACCCCGACAAAAGGTGGACGAAACTAAATTTCTGGTCAGAATCGCCAACTACCTGGACAAATATTCACTTTGGCGATATCCACAATTAGTTGGTGGAAACTTCTGGGCCATTCACAGCAGAAAAGATGAAAACCTCCAAGAGTCTCGATGTGTTGTTGAACTTGTTGGAGTCCACAGTTTGTTAGGATCTTCTACGTTTGCTCTGCGGATGTTTGAAAGCCGTTTAATTCACCGTTGGCGGTTCTTTTCACTCAGAATACGAAAAAGACATTTTCCTTCTTCCGTGCTTCTATTTGTGCATCCGATAATGCAGCAGGAATTTACCGTTATCGGGGATAAATACGCGAGGTTACGCACTGTGTTTGACGCTATCGTGTTTCTTGCCTCCGACCAAAATATTTCCCAGCATGCAACGCGGGCTTTTAATAACAATGACGTCAGCTGAAACTCGCCTATAGCTCAAGAATACCTCAAAAAACAGGCATTCTGACTGTGATCGGGGTCGCCTCTCCACAGATCTGGCCTGTAACTCCATGGAGATAGAAAGGTTTAATCCCATACTGTGAAACATTCCAGACAAAGCAGTAACATCTTCATGGAAAAAAGCTTTTGACGGACCCTCCACCAGAAAAGTTACACACTTAAGGCGTAGTCATAGCAACGTTCTCAAAGCAGGTTATCAAAAGTGCCATGTTTGAGTCCACCTGCGCTCACTACTGCCCCCTGCGTGCGTGTTCAGCCTCTGCACAAACACAAACACGTCGGTGACAGTGATCACAGCGCACACACACACACACACACACACACACACACACACACACAGACTCTCCACATCAAACAGACTCGACTCTGTGCCGCTGTCAGGGTTAGTTCGGCGCTCCGTCTGCACATCTGCTCCTCCTCCTGTTCTCATCATCGTCTTCATCATCTGAGGTTCCTCCAGGTGAGCTCCACGCGAACTGTCAGAGCGTGCGGAGAAAAACATCTGACCCGCTTCTCCCGCGAACTGTCCCTCAGCTGTCTAAAGGCACGCTCTGAAACCTGAAAGTTGGATTTTTAAGGCGCTGTCACCAAACCGTTTGAGGACAGGCAGCAGGCTGAGAACTGTGCACAAGAAAAACCCGACGTAAATACAAACATCAGCGCGTTCTCGTTATAGGACATTTGACGAGCTCAACGGGAGTGAGGAGAAGTTTTTATATAGAAAACAACTCAAAGCTTTTCAGCCCCGATTTCTGAGCAACAACAGAACAAGAAGGACTCCAGTGTGTTGTTCCTGCTGGAGCCTAAAGCACCTCAAACTAATAAATCATCATCATAATCAAATTATACATATATATATATAATCATGTGACATATTTTATATTTTCTGTACAACACATAAAAAAGTATTTATATCAGTAGAGTACATTACTAGAAGTATATTGGAAGGTGTAGTAGTAGTAGTAGTAGTAGTAGTAGTAATAGTAATAGTAGTAGTAGTAAAAGCAGTAATAGTAGTAGTAGTAGTAAAAATAGTAGTAGTAGAAGTAGTAGTAATAACAGTAGTAGTAGTAGTAAAAGCAGCAGCAGTGGTAGTAGTAGTAGTAGTAGTAGTAATAATAAAAGTAGTAGTAGTAGTAGAAGTAGTAGTAATAATAGTAGTAGTAGTAGTAAAAGCAGCAGCAGTAGTAGTAGTAGTAGTAGTAGTAGTAGTAGTAGTAATGAACAAAGTAGTAGTAGTGTTAGTAAAAGCTGCAGCAGCAGTAGTAGTAATAGTAGAAGTAATAGTAATAATAGTAGTAGTAGTAGTAGTAGTAGTAGTAAAGGCAGCAGCAGTAGTAGTAGTAGTAGTAGAAGTAGTAGTAATAATAGTAGTAGTAGTAGTAGAAGTAGTAGTAATAGTAGTAGTAGTAGAAGTAGTAGTAATAAGTAGTAGTAGTAGTAGTAGTAGTAGTAGTAGTAGTAAAAGCAGTAGTAGTAGTAGAAGTAGTAGTAATAGTAGTAGTAGTAGTAGTAATGAACAAAGTAGTGGTAGTAGTAGTAAAAGCAGCAGCAGTAGCATTAGTAGTAGTAGTAGTAGTAGAAGTAGTAGTGGTAATAATAGTAGTAGTAATAGTAGTAGTAGTAAAAGCAGCAGTAGTAGTAGCAGTAGTAGTAGTAGTAGCAGTAATAGTAGTAGTAGCAGTAGTAGTAGTAGTAGCAGTAGTAGTAGTAGTAGCAGTAATAGTAGTAGTAGCAGTAGTAGTAGTAGTAGCAGTAATAGTAGTAGTAGTAGTAGTAGTAGTAGTAGTAGTAAGTAAATAAGTCTTTTTTTCTATAGCACTTTTCACAGACATTTTTTGTCCTCAAAGATGCTTTACAGAGCATTATTCAGCATTATTCAGCATTATTCAGCATTATTCAGCATTATTCATTCACTCTATACCTGGTGATGGTAAACTACTATTGTAGCCACAGCTGCCCTGGGGCAGACTGACAGAAGTGTAGTAGTAGTCCTGGTTTAGTCCTGGTTTTAGTCCTGGTTTAGACCTGCTTTTAGTGCTGGTTTAGCCCAAAATGTGAAAACAGGAAAATACTGCCATGTAATCCATTTATTTCAACAAAGTAACTGTAATCCAATTAGCACTCACTGAAACAGTAACTGTAACTGAATACAGTTACTCATAATTTGTACTCTGATTACGTAACTCCGGTACATGTAATCTGTTACTCCCCAACACTGATTATATTGTGATGTTTGAGCTCCTGTGTCCAAATAATTTCCCCTGTGGATCGATAAAGTTTGTGTAAGTCTCAGTAAGTGTAGGTGTTGTGACATTTGTGTCCAGCTCCTGTGAAAGAACCAAACACAAACTGTACTTTCTAGTTGTCATCTTTATGTATTAGGATGTTTCCAGAAAAGCGTAGCCTACCAGAAGATGACTGAAAAAACCACAATGACACATCTCTTATCCCACCTCAAATGAAGTCGTCGCGCATTCTACTTGGACCATCTCTCCTTCTCTCTCTCTTAGTCTCTTTTTCTCTTTCTCTCCTCCCCGTTCCTTTCCGAAGCGCATCGCCCGCGTCACCCCCAGCGCTGCCCCCTCCCACCGGGACCGGAGGAAAAAAAGGGGGGGGTAGGCGACGGTACGGCAGAGCGGGGGCAGGCGGGGGGAGAGCCAGGCGAAGCAGGCACAAGTCCCACAGGCTCCTCGGCGCTCGGGTGGACGGATGTATCATGACGCGATGATTCTGGCCGGAGCGGCGCCTCTGACTGTCCGCGTGGAACAGGTGGCTACTGTCCCTACTGTCCGCTGCTACGACCGGAGGTAAGACGTGGGGCTCCGTGACGCCTCCAGTGAGGGGGGGGGGGGAGCGATGTGCAGAGCCGCGCTACAGCTGGAACATGCGGGGAAGTGCGTGGAGACACTCGCGGTGTGAATACGGGGCTTTGTGCACGAACGAACGCGGCTGTAACTCGCTTTAACGACGCCAAAAGCGAATTATTTTGGCTGTTTAACGTAACGCGCAGTCGAGGTAAGTCAAATCTAGGCTCTTGGAAACATATTCGTGCTCTTAAACGCGATGTGCCATCAAGTTTTTCAGCGTATCGTTCAGAAAGACGCGAATTTGTACGCGCGTAAAACGGAAAGTCATTGCACCCGCGGGGATAGAGACCCGTGTTCTTGCCGGGCTGCCTCTCTCCCGGCTCGTGATTTATTTGTTTGCGTAGAAATGCCACGGAGAGCAACGTTGTCACACTCGTAGACGGATGGTTACGCAGAAATGCTCGTTGATGACTTACTACGCGTTTTTCCAAAAGTCGTGCTTTGTAATGCAGTGACGATCGTGATACTTGTACGAACAAAAACACACGAAAGAAATCATAATAATAACAACACATCACCTAAAAATTACCAAGTGATTAAGTTACGAACTATTTTTAACTAAGAAATGTCATTTGGTTAATTGATAATTGCGATTATCGAGATCACAATACCTAATTGTATCAAAAAATCTCTTCGGAATTTTAGAATCAAACCAAACAAAACTGTAAACCTAAAAAAAAAAAAAGTGGTATAATGTTGTTTCCTCATCACAAAGATGCCCGGAGTTGTGTTTTGTTCAATTAATTTCATGTTTAACACACAAAACCTGCACATTTTGGCATTGTCACGTGGTAATACAAGTGCTCCACTGTGTTTTTAAACTCCATGCACCTTCACTAGAATCATCTGGATCATTTTGGACCTCGAATTTCCAATCTCTGCAAGGTAAAAAGCTGGTTGTCAACTTAAAAATCTACCACTACATGACATCACAACGTGGAACAGAGCATGTTGAGGTTTGGAGATGTAGACAGACTAATAATAAAAGGTGCTCAAACATGTGCGAATGAAACAAAACACACACAATAAATCATAATATAATAATACACCACCTAAAAATTGCCTAGTTATTAAGTTACGAACTATTTTAAACTAAGAGATGTCATTTGGTTAATTGATAATTGTGATTATTGAGGTCACAATACCTAAAACGTATCGTGGGAAGTTTAGAATCAAAACAGAATCAAAACTGTAAACCTAAATGTTATAATGTTTTTTCCTCATCACAAACACACCGTAGTGAGCTGCTTTCTAATTTTCCTGTTGATAATTATTCACGATGACAAACTACAGCGAAATGGTTAAAGCAGGGATGTAACAATAACTGAAATATCGTGATATCGTATCGTCAAACTTCTCACAATAATATCGTGGACCATCACAATATATCGAATTACAAGTGTCTTTGCTTAAATTAAGAGTTTTGGTGCAGCAATAGCTAAAAAAAAAAGACAGAGGAACTACATAGACCATGATCCTTTGCTCCATTTCAGTGCAGACTACAAGAAGAAATAACTGTTCTAAGCACTTTTAAGTCTTATTGCGATATTTTGTCGAGGCTAAACAGCAAAAACTGTTAATTTGCTGCTTTTTTCTCTTAAAATGCCATTGACAAGACTTAATCGAAAGAACTAAATATCGTAAGGAGAGATTTAGATATTGTCACATCCCTTAATCGTGAGCCTCCACCACCATATCGTGAGCTTTCCCACGATATCGCAATAAATATCGTTTACAGGTCCCACATTACGCAAAATTGAATCTTGTGAGCTTGTTTTATCGCCAAAAACATACCTGGAGTTGTAGTTTGTTTCATTAATTTCATGTTTAACACACAAAACCTGCACATTTAGGCATTGTCACGTGGTAATACAAGTGCTCCACTGTGTTTTTAATCTTCACTAGAATCATCTCGATCGTTTTGAACCTCGAATTTCCAATCTCTACGAGGTAAAAAGCCGGCTGTCAGCTTAAAAACTACCACTACGTGACATCACAGCGTGGAACAGAGCATGTTGAGCTTTGGAGATGTAGACAGACTAATAATAAAAGGTGCTCAAACATGTGCGAATGAAACAAAACACAACTCCAGGTCTGTTTTTCGACGATAAAACGAGCTCACAAGATTAAATTTTGCGTAATACGGGACCTTTAAACACGACATTATCCAAGCATAATATAATAAAACAATTATAAAATAGTCATCACCTATATTAGATGTAAACGAAACGCAAGTGAGATCTCTCTGTCGTTTGTCATCGTGAATAATTATCAACGCTAAAATTAGAAAGCGGCTCACTAATCGCCGTGTCTTCCTCCGGGGCAGATGGTGGCTTCTTCAGGTAAGGCGAAGTCCCTCTTGTCACGTCGTTCGTTTTGTATTGCGGTGGATTTTAGACAACAGAGAAGGAGTGAAAGCCAAAGCGGAGCCCCGGGGTTGTGCCGATGCTCTCCTCTGGGCCAGCCCCGGGCCAAATTGCCTACCCTGGGCTTTACACAACGGCAATAGAAACTTCAATTGGCGTTCGCTTTGAAGTCGCTGAAGCAAATACCTACGAGCTGTATTTGCACTATTATGTAATCTTAAATAATCCGTTTTAAAGCAGGCCTATTATGCGGAATTGGTGTTTCAGAGCTTTGTTGTGATTGTCTCAGCTTATTTACCTGAACTGAAGTTGAATTTGGAGTGATTCGTGCATGTTTGAGTTCGCCTACAAACAAGTTCGCCAGTTTTCCCTTACCCCTCATGCATGCCCACGACTCTTCTCATTTGCTTTTTATCAAACGGTGATTCATCAGTGTTGCCGTTTTTGCATGAATGAAAGATTTGTAGAGATTCATGTCACGATACTAAAAGTTCAAACTTGATTTTAATACTAAGAAGATTCAATACTCAGTACAGATTCTGATACATTTTTATTAGACAATAGAATGTGATTTTCAACATTAAATCATAGTATGTTCTTTTATAGTTCATGTGGTCTTATATCTGCGTAATCTAGAGTCGTAGTGCTTGAGACCGGCCTTGGGACCGTTTACCTGACCATATTTGGACTCGGTCTTGTCTCGGTCTTGATGGTGCTTCGACCCGCTCTTGTCTCGGTCTTGAAGGCTCTTGGACTCAGTCTTGTCTCGGTCTATGTGTTTCATATTCACTTCGCACAAGAAGTGGTTTAACAAAGACTTTTAGTATCACAGCCATGATTTAGACATTATTTTTATTGAACTGTATCAAATCGTTTTGAAATATACTGTATAGAATCAAAGAAGCACTGTCTTAAGATATGTATCGTATCGTGGCCTAGTATCAACGTATGTATCATATTGTGGCATATGTATCGTATTGAATCGAAAGAGCACTGTATCGAGATATGTATCGTATCGTCACCTATGTATCGAGATATGTTTCATATTGTGGCCTAGGTATGTATCATATCGTCACCTATGTATCGAGGTATGTATCGTATCATGGCCTATGTATCAAGATATGTATCGTATCACGACCTATGTATCAAGATATGTATCGTATCATATGTATCGATATCGTATCATCCTATGTATCGAGATATGTATCGTATCATGTATGTATCGATATGTATCGTATCATGACCTATGTATCGAGATATGTATCGTATCATGTACCTATGTATCGAGATATGTATCGTATCATGGCCTATGTATCGAGATATGTATCGTATCATGACCTATGTATCAAGATATGTATCGTATCATGACCTATGTATCAAGATATGTATCGTATCATTACCTATGTATCGAGATATGTATCGTATCATGACCTATGTATCGAGATATGTATCGTATCATGACCTATGTATCAAGATATGTATCGTATCATTACCTATGTATCGAGATATGTATCGTATCATGACCTATGTATCAAGATATGTATCGTATCATGGCCTATGTATCGAGATATGTATCGTATCATGACGTATGTATCGAGATATGTATCGTATCGTGGCCTATGTATCGAGATATGTATCGTATCGTGGCCTATGTATCGAGATATGTATCGTATCGTGGCCTATGTATCGAGATATGTATCGTATCGTGGCCTATGTATCGAGATATGTATCGTATCGTGGCCTATGTATCGAGATATGTATCGTATCATGGCCTATGCATCGAGATATTTATCGTATCGGCAACTTCTTAACGATACCCAGCCCTAATCAAAATCGAGTTTTTAGTATCGTGACTAAAACAGTCTGGAGTTAAACCTTTCTATCTTCTTAAATACCAACTCAGACAAGTTACAGGTCAGATCTGTGGAGAGGCAGCCTGTGTTTCTGTTGGTATTTTTGAGCTATAAAAGCATCTGTAATTAAATAAATGTAAAGAAAGAGCTGTTTAAGGTCACACTCTGGAACATTCCGGTAGAAACAAGCAGGTAACGCGGACTTTCCATCAGAAAAGTTACACAATGCACCTTTAGAAAATCAAAAATGACGATTACAACACAGCGATATTAAAGGAAAAGAAAAGGTTGGGTAAAAGAAGTCATAGGCCCTGCGGTTTTGTCCTTTAAAAAACCCCTCCGCGCCGCCCGCTGTTCTCGTTTTGACAGCTCCGATCGATATCGCCAAATTTATAGGGATCATATTTTTGTGATATTTCCAACACAAACCGTTTTAACCTTTCCTTTGATAAATAAGACTCAAGATCGGCCCAAATGTCACTTTACAAGATTTAGATAAGAGTCGGCCGTACAATCCTCCGCTCTCTTCCTTTTTACCGTCCTTCCATCTTTCTCTCCTTCTTTTTTTCACTGTGTCTTTCCCTCATCTTTTGTCTCTCTCTCTCTGTATTTCTTCATTCCTCTTTCTTTCTCTTCTCCTCTCCGTCTTTCTCCGTCGTCGTTACTCTCTCCCCCTCACCTCTTTCGCCCTTTTCTCTCTCTAAATCTCTTCCCCTCGTTC